TACTGTTCACCACCAAAACGGCCCTACATTCTTCCGCACAGCATTTGGATTGATGTATGTTGCGCATTATTCTTATATGTCACAAATACGTGCATAGAACTGTGAGAAAATGTACATAGAAATATTATCTGTCAAAAAACGTAGTATGGAGAGTTAAGCTTGCTCCTGTTCCGGGCCTGCACTGCCTTGATAATAACATTGCTTGTGCCAGATGGAAGAATTTTTGGCTAGTTATAATATTTTCATTTCTTGTTGTTATTTTAATGGCATAGAATAACTTAAAACAGTTGCAGTTTTTGGCAGAAAGAGTTGATATTGCGAAATATTCAAGTAGAGAGCAGCTGGACATTCTGGAACTGATGTTTGTTCAAACGCTTTCACTGACTGTTGGCCCTTCAAAAGGTGCTACTGCTGCTACTACAGTCTCCGGACGTTCGGATCTAATATCTTCGGAAACAACCTTAGCTAATGGTATTAGCTTGGCAGTTTTAAAAGCCCCTCCTACACACACATATATATATGTATATATAAACGGAAGAAATATAAACATGTGCAGAAAGATAGAAGAAATATGGCGGGGTCGGGCTTATTTTCTACAGAAAGTGGTTTTCGCAAGTCCTCATGCGAATTCCACTGATCGCGAGTTGATATGGTTCCCAGACTAGATTTTAACAAAATCCCTTGAAATCATTCATGTTTATGCCTTCACCATGACTGGTGTCTGCGATAATAGTAAACAACACGAAACTTCCCATAACTGCCGTGCATGTAGGCTTCCCAGCTGTCACATCCGCATGCACGGCAATTGTGGCAATTTTCAAAGCAAAAACTTGAACGAGGAAAGAAGATTGGAGGGAGTTACATTGATAAGCATGGCACTGGCAAGAAGCAATGAGACAAACAAGCTGACATTGTCAGATTCCGAGAAAATGCATAACGAAAGTGGACTTGGCTTGTGCTAAATGCAAAAAGCACGGGCCTCAGTGACTGCATTTTGGTCATTGCATGCCGCATTTGCAGGGGTTTCTCCGCAATGTCTTAATGCAGAAAAAGAGGCAACCATTGTATGTTGCAAATAGAAATAATAAATAGGAACGCGCACCAGACTAGCCGATGCGATTGTGCGTTTTGTGCAGTTCAGCCCATCGAACGATTGCCTATTAATGATTTTCACTGCTTTTTACTTTAGTCTGTGCAAAAACAGTTCAAATATTGGAAAATAGCTAAAAATTTCATACAACAGCACATGAAAGCTGAATTCGAAACCTTGAATTCATTACCCTAAAATAATCTGCCTTCTAGATTCCGTGATTCTCCAGATATTAATTTACCCGTAAAATTTCACGGGGCCGTGCGTGTTGCCCACGGATACGGGAAGGCTGAATTTAAATTTGCCGCATCATCCGCTGGCGGGAACACTATACCTAAATTTCAGCCGCCTAGCTTTTGTGGTTCCCGAGTTGGAATTACGGGACAAAATGTGGGGCACACACACATACGCACACACACACACACACACACACACACACACAGACACACACACAACCCCGTGACAATATGCCTTTTGTGATGCTGTTACACGGCACAAAACGCTCAAAAATTGTCCCGACTGTTCAAAGATTCATATTGTTCACCGCAAATTAGCCTAGCAAAAAAAGTGGAAGAGACAGATCGGGGAAACTGACTGAGCTGTTGCAGTGGATGTGGTCTGAGACTACAAATTCCTCATTGAGGAGCTTTAGTGCACAAAATGAGCCGAGGTGCAGAGCAGCTGTAACTGGATCTGAGGCTGACACTGCTCAAAAGGGAAAACATGAAAAAATCAGAAGCGTTTTGTCCTTTTTGAGTGGATATTAATAAGGCGATGCAGCTCAGATTGCAGGTTTATCACCTACGTGGGACTCTCACACAGATTGTTCGGGCGCTCTTGGTGCTTTGATATATGCTTACTGGCGCATTCTTTTTGTTTATTAATCATCGGTAGAGTGTATTTAAACAACTTTCCTTTATCGCACTACGGCTGTTGAGTTACCGACCTCCTCCACCGACCCCTTCTACCGACCATTATTACCGACCTTCACTGCGACTTACTGCTAATCACCAATATTCCTATTCTGGGGAGCTTCGGCTCCCCAGAGCCTCACCTACCTTTGTATTTTACCTTTTCACTCTACTATGTATAATAAACGTGTATGTAGGACGCGGCGTGTTACTTATACACACAGTATTAAGTAGATATATTATTTGTGTTTGCTATAATGCTTCGTTTTTATGCGTTTTGTGCTGTGTACCAGCAGTACAAAACGCATATTGTTACGGGGTTGTCTGTGTGTGTTTGTGTGTGTGTGTGTGTGTGTGTGTGTGTGTGTGTGTGTGTGTCCGCAGCAACTTGTCCGCAACTTTCTCAACTCGGTAACCACAAAAGCTAGGAAGCTGAAAATTTAGGGTAACGTTCCCCACCCACGTGTGACCCCGCAAATCGGGAACCCAAAAGCTAGGAAGCTGAAAATTTAGGGTAACGTTCCCCACACCACGTGTGACCCCGCAAATTTAAATTCAGCTTCCCCGTACCCGCGGGTAACGCGTACGGCCCTGCACGTGTGACCCCGCAAATTTCACAAAGCTAGGAAGCTGAAAATTTAGGGTAACGTTCCCCACCCACGTGTGACTCCGCAAATTTAAATTAAGAGCTAGGAAGCTGAAAATTTAGGGGAACGTCCCCCACCCACGTGTGACCCCGCAAATTTAAATTCATACCCACGGGTAACGCGTACGGCCCCCTGAAAGTTTTTCACCGGGAAGTAAATATCTCGGGAACCACGGGCGGGTAACGCGTGCGGCCCTGTGAAAATTTTTTACGGGTAAGTTAATATCTTGGGAACCACGGAGTCTAGTGGGTAACGCGTACGGCCCTGTGAATGTTTTTTACGGGTAAGTTAATATCTGGGGAACCACGGGGTCTAGGAGGCTGAAATTTTAGGGTAATGACCCACTGCCATGCTCGACCTTGCCCATTCAAAATCAGCCTTCTCTTACCCGCGGGTAACACATACGGCTCCGTGAAAATTATTCACGGGTAAGTTAATATCTCGGGAACCACAGAGTCTAGGAGACTGAAGTTTTAAGGTAATGACCCCCTGCCCACCCTCAACCTCGCCCATTCGAATTCAGCCTTCCCTTACCCGCGGGTAACAGGCACGGCCCCGTGAAAGTTCTCCACGGGTAAGTTAATATCTCGGGAACCACGGAGTCTAGGAGGCTGAAACTTAAGAATAATGACCCACTGCCCAACCTTGCCCATTCAAATTCATCGTTCTCGCGCTCTCGGTTACCACGTACGGCCTGGTGAAAATTTTGATGGATAAACTGTTAACTCGGGAATCACAGAAGGATATGCGTCCTTCAGGATTTCGAATTTAGCTTTCATACGCTGGTGCGTGAAATTTTTAACTGTTTTCCAATGTTTGAACTA